ACAAAAGACTCAAGATTCAAGTTCAGAGTCAACCCTAAAATTTCCAGTCAAGGATGATTGCTACAAAGCAATGGAGATAAAAGACAAAGAGGAAGATTGCTACAAAGCAATGGAGATAAAAGACGAAGAGAAAGATTGCTACAAAGCAACGGAGATAAAAGACGAAGAGACTACAAAGGATGAAGATGAAGGCGTTTTGTTCACGAGGGAGAAAATGGAAACTACAACAAACAAATCTAGAGGGAGTGTTGGAATAGATTCGTTTTCTATACAAAAAAGGGAATATCAAGTAAAAAGAAAAATCAAGGAAAACAAAGAAAAGGGAAAAACAAGCAAAAGGAAAAACAAGCAATAAAAGAAATTGGAGAAAAAGAAAATCATGAAAAAGGCAAACATTAGGAAATAACAATTTACTATATTGTTTAGAATCCTAACTCTAGAAAAAGGGTGAATTAGCCAAGTAGCATTATTGAGCCACATATCAGAGAATATAGCCATCAAGTTCCAATAATACGGTGAATAACAAAAGCTTTCATTTTTGGACTATTTTACCCCTTCACTGACTATGTGCTTTTTAACCATGATCCAACCGTCTTCTTCTTCATCGAAACCCAACTTCGAAGGATTAGTTTTGACTCAAACATTTTTTATGAATTTCATCACAAGTATACACTTTTTGCAATGATTTTAAGAGACATGCAAAACAAGAATAAACTCACTTCGATTTGGGGAAAACCCAATATTAAGGTTTTTTCTTTGGACGTTTCCAAGAATCAAAGTAAATGAAGGATATATTTGATTGAATCCATTTTCGAGCTAGTAATCTTTAAGTAAACCGGAGTAAGAACACAATTTTTGTACAAATGAACGTGAGGAGCTTCAGAACAAGAAGAACAAGCTTCCGTTAAGGGTTGATGAGGTAATTAATTAACTAACGTTCATTCCCTCAATCACATCTCTTAATTTAAAAAAAAAAAATTTTGATTTCAAATGGAGATGTGTCGGGTTTTGATATGAATGGGAGATGTATCATCTTTGAAATTAGAGTTGGAAGTAAAACCAATTTGGAGTTTTGGATTACGAGATGATTGGGTTTTGAGGGTTTGATTTGTGCTAGTATTTTTGGTTTCAAAAGGAGATGTATCGAGTTTTGATATGAATTAGAGATGTATGTATTTGGGTTTGAAATTAGGGTTTGACGTAAAATCTATTTGGGATCAAAAG